ACACATCCATTTTTTCTGAGGTATGCCAAAACGTTCAGAAACCTTCAAAACGTCGAGAAATATAAAAATTTTCAATTCCGATTTTCGGCCCATTACAATAACTTACCCTACGGGAAGTTAAAAATTTATTGGTGTTTTTTTTAAATTTACAAGTGTATCATATGATTTACACAAATACTTCGGTATGCTAAATAAATAAATAATAAATCAATTAAAATTATATTTTGTTATTTTAATCGTCATCACTGTCATGGTTAATAGCAACCGAAGTTTCCTCTATTATAAAAATATTCGATAGTATTTCTGATGGACGTATAATACGTGATAAATACCTCGCAAATGACATATAATATATAATATGATAGCTGCAATATGTGAACAGCAACCAACAGTCCTCAATCCATTGGGACAACTACAGCAATACATTAAAATACTTCGATAGTTAGTGCCAAGCGGAGTATATTCAATATAAAAATTATATTTTTTCCTATTTATATGCCGTGATTGGACATCAATTCTAATTATATTCCTACACTCTTTGAAATAATAATAATAACAATAATAATAATAATGATTATTAGAATACTTTCAGTAATAATTTTTGTAAATTCCTGAAGTACTATATAGAAAGTTTCCACATCAAATGGCAAATAATTTTTGAAGAATTTTAAATAACCAAAAGCTAAGAATTTCAGATTACCATTTGTCATATTTCTTTTTGTATTGTAGTATTGAATAGTACTGATAAAGATAGGCCACAATAAGAGCTTTATAATCGCAATGTTACAATTATCATTAAAAAAAAGGTTTCTTGGGTTTGTTGAAATTACAATGTTTCATTATATTATTATTTCATATGAATACATATAACTATATAATAAATATTGTCACATTCAGAATTTCTTAGGAACCGTTTCGGGCGCTTCGCGCACTGCTTTGCGTTCGAACGAACTCTATGCGATTGCAGGGTACTATTAGGGTTACGCGCGGGTGTGTTCAAATTTCAATTTTCCAATGTGTTCCACCAAATTGATTTGAACAATATTTTCAGTACTAAAAGATAAAGCAATAATCTTTCGAATAACGCTAATTAGAAGGTGGTCCAACTAAACGCACTACCGGAAAACATCAATTGAAAAATTATTTTATCTTTTTCAGCTAATAATAATTAATTATTTGGCATCGATTGTTCTACATTATGTGGCCTAAGCCAATATGAATAGAACCACGTAATTTTTTTTTTCGATATCTTTTATGGTTACGTCAAAAAGTGAGTTTGAAAAAAGGGGCCACTTTCACATATTTTCAATGATATCTCGGCCATAAGATGAGATACAAAGTTGAAAATTGGTATATCGGTTTTTATCATTTAGACCTATAAAATGGCGTATAAATTATTTAAATACCAGGGTGGGGCCGATTCTATATGGCAATGCGCCCATACCCTTTATGCATAAGTAAATTGGTTGGCAGGTAAAATAGTGTATTAATAAACAGGTTGATGAGTAAATTAGTAGAGAGGTGTATTGATATATAGGTAAAGTGTTAGATAGGTAAAGCTGTTGCTGGTGGTCAGGTAAATTGGACGAGATGTAGGATGGTAGACACAACAAGTGGTAGATGGACAAATACAAGGCAGATAAACAGGTTGACAGGTAAATTGGTTGAATGAAATGCAAAAAAGCTAGTAGACTAAATGTAACAAATATACATTATTGTTCAACTTTTTAATTTAAACTAAAGCACGGCGAAGCGTGAACGGGTACTGCTAGTAATAAATAATTATTTGGCATTCATTGCTCTACATCAGTGATTCCCAAAGTGGTTCACATGGACCCCAGAGATCCATGGCAACATTCAAGGGGTCCACGGCGGCAAAAACAAAATTTGGGGGTCCACGAAATGAAAATGGGGGTCCACGGCAGTGGATTACAATACGCTATGTTAAAATCTATTTATTTACGTTAAACAATAATATAATATATAGATTTACAATAAATCTTTTAATATAGTTGGCAATATTTAGGAATGATTCAAAAAGTAAACAAAAGCATTACATATTTATATAAAGGGTGTAAGTTGTAGCATTTAGGCATTCGAGTTGTGGTTAAACTATACGCTGGCTGTTGAAAAGCTTAATTTTAGTAAGATTTTTGCCGTTAGAATTTATAAATACCAAATATAGAGGTTTAAATGGCAATTTAACAAAGTGTGATATAGATGCTACTTATTTGGATTCGATAAACAAAATTTTCTTTGAATTTTAGTCCACTCAGCAACGAATTTGGACTCAAGTTTAAAATTTACACAAGTAATTTTGTGCTTTGGTGGACAGTAAATTACAGATTTATGTTTATTTAGCTATGTTACAGATATAGTTTATTTCTGGGTTGGTTATTGAAGCAAGTTGCTTATATGAAACGTTTACTGGCAAATGTTATAGGATTGGTAGTGCCTAATGATGTTTCTGATTATTATTGCAGTTCTACCGTCAGTTGTTCCACGTGGATTAATGTTGTAACTGGTTGCATGGCATCATGCCTTAAGGCAAATTGCTGGAACTTCCCGTACCGTGAATTAAATGTTTTGAAAAACGGATACGGAACCCATAGAAATGCCAACAAAATTCATTGGTACTTATTATTAAAATCTATATAAAATATCTGATAATTTGATATGCATTTGTCTAATAATCATTTTTGACCGCGAAATGGCATTTTTTCTACTTTTTCACTTGATCTCTGAAATCGCTAGACCTGCCTTCGCAAAAATTATTATACTATATATAAAAATGTTCATTTTCGATTTTTTTGCGATTAGTATAACTTACCCCACGAAGAGTTAAAAATCAAGCTTGCTTAATTTAAAAAAGTCTAAGTTAGTAAAGCGTATTTTCGAAAATAGCATATGATCAATTTGATGATGTATTGAAAATAATTATAAAGCCGCTATTTATTACTAAACTTTTGAAACTAAACTCATTAATATATTTATCTTAGCGAAGTCCATTTTAAATTCATTTTGTTGCTCGATATATTAAGTTGAGCATAGGACGATCTGTTAAATACATAGTATCACGGATAACAAATATATGTTACGTAGTAAAAAGATTATATTCGAAAATACAATGAAAAACAGTTTGTTCAAAAATATTTTTTTCGAATTACAATTGCGTACTTTTAGTAAGAAATTGATTATATGTTACAATAATTTTTTAACATGTTTTTACGCATTTGAGACTTCTATAAAACAATTTTCTACATAACTAATTGTTTATTTTCTTTTTTTTTAATTTTATGAAATTAAATTCGCCTTTGGAATTTTGTATTCAGAAATTTTCTTATTCATAACGTTTTACAAGAGATAAAAAACACATTGATTCACATAATTAATTTGATTAGTAGTTGTAATTTAATTTTAATTAAGAGAAAAGAAATTTTAATTAAGATTTAAACCTATACTTTTCAAAAATCTGGGATTGATTTTGAAAAAAACCCGGATCAAAAGATGGAAACTCGGAACTGTCCCGGATAAACCATAATATAGGGGGTCCATAACAAAACGAAAAATATCGCAAGGGGTCCACGGCACAAACAAGTTTGGGAACCTATGCTCTATATTATGGGTGTCAAACTCGCGGCCCGCGGGCGCATGCGGCCCGCAGCGGATATTTTTGCGGCCCGGCTGCCCGCGTGTGTTTACAAACGATAATATGCAATAAATAAGAATTCAATGAGGAAAAAATGAAATATTCAACTGCAATAGAAATATGCTTCTTTATTAAATTTGTTTTATTATTGGATGTATTATTATCGTTATAGATATATTTATGTTTTGGAGGAATTAGTGTAGCCTTTGTTTCACTGAATGACGGTCTCGATGCAGATCGAAACGTATGGATTAATGAAGCAAATTTCCTAATTGGTTTTGGTTTTTTTTTTAGTGCTACTGCCCGAATCAATAGACTCATTGCACAAGATATAATAATACCATATATATATATATATATATATATATATATATATATATATATATATATATATATAGTTTTTTTGCTGCCCGCTTGAAGTTAAACTTTGCTTATGCGGCCCTATTGCACCTTTGAATTTGACATCCTTGCTCTACATAATGTGGTCTAAGCCTATATGAGTAGAATTACGTAATTTTTTTTCGATATCTTTAGTGGTTACGCCAAAAAAAATGAGCCTGAAAAAGGAGCCGCTTTGGCATATTTCCAATGATATCTTGGCCATAAGTGAGATACATGTTGAAAATTGGTATATCGGATTTTTAGCTCATAGAAATCTTTTTTGTATTTCTGATTGCTAAATAATACAAAGTTCAAAAAAAAAATACAGAGATAACCTTGATTAGGTATTTTATTAGAAATATTCATTAGCAGAGTTGGAATAACTATTTGTTTAATTTTTTTCTTATAAAATTGTTTATATTAACTTAAATTGCTTTTTTATTTGCTATTTTTTATTCTTTATACTTTTTTCGGAGTGGATATTTAGTTGGTCCCTTTTACCCCAACCAGCTTTGAGCTTTTATATAAAATTGTATAGTAATATAAAAAACTGCTAAATCTAACTAAAAATTAATACATATTATAAAACAATTAAAATAACGTTTACTTAAAAATTATATTAAGGCCTTGAGAACTAGGCAACAGTGCTCATAATCAAAACTATTAACATCGAGAGAAAATACTATTGTTATGGATTTTCAAAGATTGTCGTTTTTCTCGCAATAGCAACCCCGTAAGTATCAAGGCGGTGTTTGGTTATACATCTTTTTTCCTCGAGTTTGAATTATTGTTGTAAAAAAGTTCTTAACTTTACTGGTTTTTGAGATTTTGATGATGGACTTATCTACCTGCAGACATTAAAGCCTCGCACTACCATAGTTTCCGAACCACTTTATCATTCGTAACTCTTCGGTCTCTTCAATGTAATTCAATCTAGCTGTTATCAGTCTCTAATTTAAATGTCTAATACCTGCGGCATGTAATTTCCTCAATGGGTTCACAATCGCACAATATCGATCAGCGGACAGAGCTGTGAGTGTAAAAACTGACACCCCGATTGAGATATCTTTGGCACACTCTGATATACGGCAAACGGCTTCGCCCCAGGGCCATGACTCCATCGTGTACGTCATAGACGTGAATGGGACCGTGCTAACGATCACTAATAAGTCGGCTAAGGCTAACGACAATATGTACCTGCAACAATATTATGATAGTTGTATGATGTAGTCTTAATTATTAACAAAATTATTGATTAAACTAGTTGTGCATGGCAACGTACCTTAAAGAAAATTGCTGGTACTTCCCGTACCTTAATTCAAAATTCGAGGAATGAAAATAATCTATAATTGTTTCAAATAAATTCAAATAGATTAATTATTATAAATACATACTGTAAATATATAAGTGCTTATTCAATTGGGCGACGAGCGTATTCTACAAACAACTTATAAGTTTACAAGAAATTTGTTCTTTTTTTTAAATTGTGGTTTATTAAAATTTTGAAAAAAATTCAAAATTATCAAAATTTTGATTTTTTTTTCAAAATTTTTAAAAATTTTTAAAAGTTCGAAATTTTTGAAAAAAAAGGATTTTAATTTTTAACTTGCTGTAGGGCAAGTTATAGTAATAGCAAAAAAATTGAAAATAATTTTTTTTATATATCTTTACGTTTCAAAGGTTTCTGAATATTTTGGAATACCTTAGAAAATGTAAACTATCAAAAAAATTCTAAATTATCAAAAAAATCTAATTTAAAAAAATTGACTCTTGTAAGTAGTAGTTCTTATAAGTTGTTCATAAAATACGCTTTTTAAATCACCCAATTTAAAAAGCACTTATAAATTTACAGTATGTGTAGGCGCGGGTGTGTGTGTGTGTGCGGATACAAATTTTCGTCGACAATTTCGTTAACACCGATCAACCGATTTGAATAATTCAAAAAAAATCTATTAGTATTGATAAGGAGACGTGCTGATTAGTTTTTGGCAAAGGCAATTCTAGCTGTTCCGAAGATACGGGGCAAAAAGTGCCTAAAACGGTTACTTAGTTTTTAAGAGGACGGAGAGTCCAATTTTAATAATTTAAAAAACGTTTTACTTGTATTGACGAAATGAACAACTGGTAAAATTTTTGGGAAGGCAGGTCCAGCGGTTATGGACTCTCAATAAAAATAATTTAAAAAAATGTAATTTGGCGGTCAAAAAAAAAAAAAAAAAAAAAAAAAAAAAAAAAAAAAATATTGTGACATTCATAATACTGAGAAATATTAAATTTATTAAATTTGCAAATAACTTGCAGGAATTTTATGATTTTGGTCTAAAAATTTGAATAGAAACATTCCTGTGTGAGTACGTAATAGAGAAATATTCCCCTACGGGGGAATTAATAACTTTTACTTGAAAATGTCAAAAATTTTAAATACGGATACCGATCAGATGGATTTAGAATGCTCCCCAGTCAAACCGAAAAAGGTCTATACGAGTGCTAACAAGTATAAGAGGTCTAATACAGATATTGTTGAAGAAGATTCTTTACATCAGAAAAATGACTCAATTTCCCTAAATGAATTTAATCAAGAAGCAACCACCAGTAAGGATTCAGAATGGTTTGAAGTAAGAAACAAAAAATTCAAAAGAAATTTAAATGAAGAATCAACATGCAAAAAAACATCTTCAAATTCGAACTACTGGCTAAACCCAACTCCCACAAGCAATATATATGAAGTTTTAGCTAATCCTAATACCGAAGACTCGAGTGATAAATGCAGCCCAGTTAACAGACCGCCGCCAATTTTTATACATGAGGTACGTGATATCAAACCATTAGCTCAACTCTTAGAATGTGAAGCAAAAAATCTTTATCAAATAAAAGTTATTGACGAAACTAGGGTTAGAGTTAATCTTGATAATGCTAAACTTTACAATAAAATTCTCAAACTTCTGAAAGAGAGGGGTACTCAAATGCATTCTTTCCAGGAGAAATGTAAAAGAACGTTCAAAATAGTGGTTAAAAACCTACATTTCAGCACGGATACAGATATGCTCAAAAATGAAATACAACAGTTAGGTCACAAAGTCGTTCGTATTGAGAACATTAAAAGCAGAATCTCAAAATTCCCTCTGAACATGTTTTTAATTGAGCTTGAACAACAGCCTAATAATAAAGATTTTTATAAAATTGATTTTTTATATAAAACTAAAGTAGAAATAGAGGCAAAGAGGTTCTCTAGAGAAATTGTTCAGTGCACTCGCTGCCAAAGGTATGGTCATACCAGAAATTATTGCCACCGCACCCCCAGATGCGTTAAATGCGCTCAAGATCACTTGACAGAAAAATGCAAGTGGGAAAAAAAGGTCGACCAAGTGAAGTGTGTCCTTTGTAATGAAAATCACCCTGCTAACTATAAAGGCTGTCACGTCTATAAAGAATATATTGAAAAAAAAACACTTCATTACGTCAGAAAACAAGTAATGTGCAAAATTTAAAACCAAATGCTACTTTAAGACCGGGCGTAACTTACTCCAATATTACTAGAAACAACACAACTTTACCTACTGACTCAACGAACTCAATAAACAATAGTAACTCTGAAAACAATACTAACAATAAATGTAATGACTTAACAGAACTTAAAAACATGATTAAAATATTGACAGAACAAATGGGCATAATGCTTAATTTACTAACAACAATTTTATCTAATAAAAAATAATTATGTCTATGCAACTAACAATTTGCATATGGAACTCGAACGGCTTGAGCAATCATGTCCATGAACTCAAACAATTTTTAACTACCAATGACGTAGACATTATGCTAATTTCCGAGACGCATTTTACCGAGACAAATCACAATATTCGTTTTCCTAATTATCACACATATACCACAAATCACCCGGACGACAGACCTCACGGTGGCACTGCCATTATCATAAAGTCAAACATAAGACATTACGAGACAGAACCTTTTTATACTGACTACATACAATCGACAAATGTTTTAATTGACCTAATGACTCACAAAATTACAGTATCGGCAATCTATTGTCCGCCAAGGCACATTATTACTGAAAATCAGTTTACAACTTTTTTTACCAGCCTTGGAAATTTGTTTATTGCGGGAGGTGATTATAACGCAAAGCACACATTTTGGGGATCTAGACTAATAACACCTAGAGGCCGTCAATTGTATAATACAATAAATAATAATAATCTTCGGACATTTTCTACGGGTGAGCCCACATACTGGCCAACTGATTTGAACAAAATTCCAGACCTCCTCGATTTTTTTGTAGCCAAAAATATTAAAAACGAGAGTGTTGAAATAATTTCAAGTCTGGATCTCAGTTCTGATCATTCACCAGTAATTCTTAAATACTCCACTAATACTCCAACCAAAGTCATGAGTTCGCTTACAAACAAATTTACCGATTGGCTTCTTTTCCAAGAATACATCGAAGACACCATTAACTGTAATATTCCATTAAAAAGTGAGAATGATTTGAATATCGGTATCAACAACTTCACAAATACATTAATTGCAGCAGCTAAAATATCGACTCCTATTCTAAATCACAATCACAGTCACTCTGTGCCCATAGATATTAAAAAAATCATTGCACAGAAAAGGAAATTAAGAAGAATTTGGCAAATAACTAGATCACCGGAAGATAAAAGAAAATTTAACAGTGCATGCAGAGACCTGAAAAATTTAATAATAAATTATAAAAATGTTTCTTTTGAAAACTACTTACATAATCTTTCTGCAAGTAGTGAAACAAATTATTCTCTTTGGAAAGCAACCAAAAAATTGAAAAGACCAATTGTACCAATTCCTCCTTTAAGAAAAACAGACGGTTCATGGGCAAGAAGTCCAGAAGAAAAAACTAATGCATTCGCCGAACACCTGCGCCTCACATTTCAGCCATTTTCACGTAAATGCAACTCTAATGATGAACAATTCATTTATGATTTTCTTCAGGATTCACCGTCGCTAGTGACTCATGATGTTAATCGTTTTACTGCGGCTGAAGTAACCCAAGAAATTGCAAAAGCAAATTCTAGAAAATCACCTGGACCAGACCGGATTTCTATTAAAATGCTTAAAGAACTTCCAAGAAAAGCTATTAGAATGCTCACAATAATATATAACTCTATACTGAGAATGAAAACTTTTCCGCAGTCTTGGAAAAGAGCTAAAATAATCCTTATAGTGAAACCAGGTAAAGACCCTTATCTATTATCTTCCTACCGGCCGATAAGTTTATTGTCTTGCATATCGAAAATATTTGAAAAGCTAATTCTTCAACGGATTAAAATAATCCTACAAGAACAAAGTTTTATTCCGAACCATCAATTTGGGTTTCGCGACAAACATTCAACAATTGAGCAAGTTCACAGAATAATAAACGTAATTAACAATGCGCTGCATAATAAAGAGTACTGTTCTGCGGCTTTTTGGATCTCAAGCAGGCATTTGACAAAGTATGGCATACCGGATTAATGTATAAAGTTAAAAGATGTTTACCAGATTCTTTATTCCTATTAATAAAATCTATTTACAAAATAGAAACTTTTTTGTCAGCATCGCCGATACGGACTCAAATATTACCGAAATTAATTCTGGAGTGCCTCAAGGGAGTGTCCTCGCCCCAACACTATTTTTAATTTTTACAGCTGATTTTCCAACTTCAACTGACACGAGTTTAGCCACATTTGCTGATGATACGTGCATCATCGCCACAAACAAAGATCCGACTGCAGCTTCCAACAGCCTTCAGCACCATCTCAGCTTAGCTGAGAAATGGTTTTCGTTGTGGAGGATAGAAGTAAATAGCACAAAATCAGTCCATATAACTTTCACGCTTCGCACCCAAACTTGCCCAGCAGTTGTACTCAACGATGAAATTATTCCGTCCAAAGAATCAATAAAGTATCTCGGCATTCACTTAGATAGGAAACTCAACTGGAAAGTACACATAAAGAACAAAAAACAACAAATAGATCTAATCTTCAAAAATTATTATTGGCTCTTAAACAGAAAATCAGAATTATCAACTTACAACAAATTACTTATATATAAGGCTGTGATCAAACCCGTGTGGACCTACGGATTACAACTTTGGGGTACTGCTAAAAAGAGCAATTTAAACATAATACAACGAGCACAAAACAAATTCCTGCGGCAAATATTAA